CAGATACTGAATATCTTAAAATATCAGGATAGCTGTTCTGTGTGGCTATCTGTATTTTGTGTGTTAGTGTATATGGCACATTTCCAATGCCACATGCAGCCTGATTATTTGAAGCACCTAAATAAATGATGCTGTATAGAATAATTTCTTTAACCAGGTTTGAATGGTAAAGATTTGCAGAGGGAAGAACCTTTCTTTATTTTGTTTTACGAATGATTTCTTCCTAGTGCCCCTCAATTGGAAGCCAGAGATTTAATCCTTATATGAGTAGATCCACTGAAATCAATAAAAGTATTCAGGTGTCCCATGTTAAACCTTGTTAGAAAGAATGACCACAATTTGAAAATAAAGCTAGAACAATTGCCTTAAAATCCTTGTTTTATGTACAAGGATTTCCTGTATGTCTTCTGTTTAACAAGGTTAAAGATTCTCTTTTGCTGAGTATCCTAATAGTAATGAAGAAAACCTGACTTTTCAGAGGCATGTTGTCGAGACATTTTTTGGATTTGATGAAGAATCTGTTGATTCAGAAACATCATCTATAACTTCATATAACACAGATAAGACAGACAGGACTCCGGCAACTCCAGAAGAAGACTTGGAAGATGTGAGTAACAGATTGTATCTTAACTTCTTAATAAACTAGCACAATGGAAATATTTTTCAGGTTTTGTACCTTTGCATTTGGAGATGGATATTTAAGTCTAAAAAATGTGTGCTGAACTGTTGCAGGGCGACTAATAAACTGATAATTTCAGTCTGCCTTCCTGCTGGGCTTTTAACTAACTAAATCAGACTTGCAGATATCAACAGATCTTGAGAAATAAATTTGCTTCCCTCCTAATCAGTCTTGCTAGTCGGAAGAAGGAAATCAATAGGCCTTTGCACTGATAACAATACATAGGTGCTACACAATGGCTCTTCTTGGAATATTTTGATTTGTTTGACTGTTGTGGTACAACCAGGTCCTTCAGATTGTAGTTCTGATATTGAGAGGTTTTGTCAATATATAGAGGCTTAAATAATAATAAGTGGTAAATATGTATTGATGTGCTTTCTCTGAGCTGGATGACCTGCATTACAACTGGCTTGAAGCAAACAATTTCAGGGAATAGGACAAAACATTCAGCTGGGCCCTCACTTCAACTTCCTATGCTTTTCACTAACCCTTTTATCCTAGAGTTGCACCCTCTTTCTTCATTTTATTTTCTGCTCCCGTCCCACTTTCTTTTTCTCCCTAACTAGTTAGTGTACAAGGACCTCATGCTGAAATATTTAAAGATTTTAAACTAGTGTGATTTTACTGCACAATTAGGGCTGCATAATGCTTTTCCCCTTTCCTCCCTTCCCTTCTCCCTTTTCCACCCTCCCCTCTCTCCCCAAACCTCAGAAAATGGAGCCAGCAGAACTTGTCCTTTACCAAAGGGGAGAATTTTCTAGTCCTCATGACTGTGGAGAAAGGCTTAAACATTTCAACCTCAGAGACTCTAAAATGTGCAAGTTTGGAAATTAACATTAAAATTATTATGGTTTTTACACTGATTTCATGACAGTTTGAAGAAACACTAAGTTTTTCACATTTTGGGCTCACGATGCTCTTCTTATACTTAGAGAGATAGTAGGGCTATGTGAAGCTTTGGTTGCTGATTTGATTTGGAGGAGGTTTGGCCTGATTTGGCAGCTGAATCTCCAAATCAAATCAGGAGACCCACTAAACTTTCCTAATCAAACTGGAAGCCTCAGAAGCCTTGGAGAGATTTGGAGAGATTCAATGATTCAGACCTAGACACAGCTTTATATGTTTTTTCTACATACCTCAAGGTACCAGGTGGCTCGTGAACACTGAGATGCTGGGGCGGATGGAGCGTCCCCAGCATGCTCGGTGGTGGACCCAGAAGTGGACCAGAAGCATTCCCAGTCCACTTCCGGGTCTGCTGTGGAGGACACGGGGGGACCCTCCCACCCCTGGCTCAGTGACCGTTGCCTCCTGGCTCTGGGGGAGCACCTGGGGTCCCCCTGTGGCTGATTGTCAAGCCAGAGGGGTGCTGGGGGGTTCCCTGCCTGCTTAGTGGAGGACCTGGAAGTGGACTGGAAATACTTCGGTTCCCTTTCTGGGTCTGCTCCCAAGCATGCGGGGGTGCCCTCTACGCTCCTGTGGGATGCTTCAATTGCCCCGCCATCTCAGCATTTATGAGCTGCACATGGTACCTCGAGGTATGTAGAAAAAACATTTAAAGTTGTGTCTATGGCCGAATTGCTGATTCTCCAAATTGAATCGGGCAGTGACCTCAATCAGCGAATCTAATCACTGTCCCCCAAATTGGGCCAAATCTGAATCAAATACAGCCTGCTTCGCACACCTCTAATAGTTAGCCATGTTAGTATGAAGTCAGGAAGAAGCCACGATAGAGGTGCACCTTATAGACTAACTGAATCAGAACTTTCATGAGCAAATGAATGTCTCCTTGTGAAAGCTTATTCATTCAGTTAGTCTATAAGCTGCACATCTAGACCATCTTTTACTTCGAGTTCTGTAAGCAGAATTTCTGCTTATTGTTCTGCGTTTAATTATGTTGCCTCAGCAGAGAATTGTGGTGAGAGTAGTAAGATCTACTGGGTATCCTTTACAGATCATAGCTCTCTGTGTCCTTTGGATCCTCACACCCACAATCACCACGTATTTTGTTTTTCACCTCTGGCTCTTTGACCCACAGTTTGTCTCCCTGAGTTCAATATTCTTCACGCAGTGTGTGTCTCCTTATCAGTAATGTAATAGTGGATGGGTGAGCAGTGCATAAGTCCTGGGCGCTGCCTAAGGGGAGGGATGGAGGTGCCAGAATAGAGCTAGGGAGGTTCAGTCTGGTCCCCATCCTGTTCCCCACCAGCACCTGCCTTTCAGTGACACTGGCTCCAACAGTTGTGAGGGCAAAGAGCTGTGCACTGCACAGCTGGAGGTTCAGTGTTGCAGAGGTGGGGGAAATGTCACTTCTTTTTTTGCCACTGAAGGTCAGTGTTTTTTGGGGGGCTCAAAACGCATGCTGGCAACCACACAAGAAAAGGGGAGGAAGTGACATTTCCCCCAGCACAATCAAATGTCTGGCTGCTTTAACTTGTACCACTGCCTCTCAGGGTGCAGTACTGTCCAGTTATGCTTCTGCTCCTTGTACTCTGTCTTTCTGGCTCCTTTCACTTAAATTCACTAGTCCTTTCTCTTCTTCTCCATTCACACACACTGCCTTTATTCTCATGTTGACACACATGCTCTTACTCAATTATCTATGCCTTCACACTTCACTCAATTCTAAAGAAAATGCAATTATGTCTTTGGTTTGGGTTTTTTTCTGTCCACCCCAGCATCTGCTTTCTTATCTCCATTCATGTTTTAAGCCTGCATAATGCTTTTAGGCACCTGTAAGGTTTTTTTCTTCCTTTCTTTTGGTCTTCCTAAGCTTGCTATTCGCCAGCCTCCATCACCCACACCCTCCAGGTTGCAACATAAGGGCATGCAAGAGTGGAGGCTGGCTGGAGGAAAGAACTTACTAGTCCTCTTCCCTTTCTGGGCTTCCTGGAGTTTTTTTGCAGATGGATAACAGGAGGAAGGTCCTGCACAAAGAGTTAGTGGCGTAGGGTGTCAGGCTCTGTCCTTTCTGTATACGTTAGCTTGTGAAGAGAGTTCTAGGGAACAGGCTGTCTGTGCTGGAACTGGGAATGTAAACGGTGCTTTTTTCCCCTGTATATGTGGGATTGGAAGGAGCTGTTTAACAAAACTTTGTTATTGTGGCTATGGGAATCCCTGGCTGTTTGTAAACCCAGGTTTTGGACAAAATTCTTGCCCAGCTTGCTGAGAGAGCCATTGGTGTGTCCAATAGTTGCTGTTGAAAAATATTTATTAATTTTCTGTTCTTTAGAGCAACTGATGTATAAGTTATGAAACTGCTACTAACCTCAGAGAGTTCCTGCAGCAATAGATGACAATGATGCACTGTTTTGCTTTTCTCTTTTAAGAGCACACCTAAAGAAGAAGCTGATTTAAGGTTCTGTCAGCTAACCAGAGAATATCAGGCTTTGCAAAGAGCATATGCATTACTCCAGGAGCAAGTTGGTGGAACACTGGATGCAGAGAGAGAAGCAAGGGTAAATTCGGGGGAGTAGAGGGGTTGTTTGTTGGAGGGAGGGGGGTGGATTGAGATTTCAGAAATCTGATGCACCTAACCTGAAATTTGTATCTGTGAGTCGGTGGACTGCATTGCAATACATACATTTAAGGAACAGACAACGTTCTTGATGCAACTATTCTAGACTGATCAGTTGTGTATGGAACAGAGATCATAAAGTATGTTTTATTTTGTCCTTATTTTACAATAAGATCTTAAATTGCGACAAAAGAGATTGTGGTGAGATATTAAGAAGAAATTTGTCACTATAGGAGTGGTTAAGCATTGGAATAGGCTGCCTAGACAGGTTGTGCAATTGCCCTTAGTGGAAGTTTTCAAGAACTAATCTGGAATGGTTTAGACAGAGACTATCAAGTATTTTTACACATGCTCCAGGAGTGGAGGGGGGGCACTTTAATTACAGTGGCTCCTAGAGCCACTGTAATTAAAGCACTGGGAACATCTTGTGTATCAGCATCCCTGTGCTTCAGAATGGTGTGGGGGGTGGTGCTTGAACTAAAGCTCATTGAATGCATTGAATGAGCTTCAGTTCAAGTGTCCCTGCTGCCATTTTGAAGTGTGGGGACTCTGATGCACAAGATGTGGAGACTGGCTGGAGCGTGGTAATTACCATACTTCCACAGACTTGATTAACTGAGTAGTCTCTGACACGTAATTGCATGACATGAAGAGAAAGTAAATTAAAGAAGGTTTTATGTTTTAATAAACTGGGACTGGGGAGTTGGGGGTGTTGATCATGCTTCCTGGGGTGTCTGGGAGCTAGAAGCAATGAGGGAAGGTGATTTTGAGGGAGCTACTGCCTCTGCCCTGGGCAGGAAGCCCCAGCTATCTCTGGGTAACCTGTTCCAGTGCTTTACTACTGTCCTTGTGAGAGTTTTTTCCAAGTATCTAACCTAACCTTCCCGTGCTGCAAATTGAGACTATTGCTCCTTATTTTGTCATCTGCCACCACTGAGAGCATTCTAGCTCCATCTTCTTTGTAATCACCATTGCATAGTTGAAGGCAGTTATTAAATCCTCTCTGTCTTCTCTGGTGTGGACTAAATAAGCCCAGTTTCCTCAGCCTGTCATAAGTCATGTGCCCCAGCCCTCCCTAAGTATTTTCACTGTCCCCTGCTGGACTCTGTCCAATTTGTCTACATTCCTTTAGTAGTGGGGGAGAGGGGGGCAAAACTGGACACACTACTCCAGATGTGACCTCATTAGTGCCGCATAGAGGGGAATAATCACTTTCCTTTATTGGATGGCAACACTCCTACTAATGCAGTCCAGTTTGCTGTTAATCTTCTTTGCAACAAACTCGTGTTGTTGGCTGTGTCCACTGTAATCCGCCGGCCCTTTTCTGCAGAGCTGCTGCTTAGCCAGTCAGTCCCCAGTCTGTTCTGGTGCTTGGGATTGTTCTGTCCTAAGTGCAGGGGTTTGCATTTGTCCTTATTGAACCTCATGAGATTTCTTTTGATCCGATCTTCCAATTTGTTGAGGTTTCTCACATTCCTAGCCCTACCTTCCAATCTGTGCTACTCCTCCCAGCTTGGTGTCATCTGCAAACTTGCTGAGAGTGCGCTTCATTCCATCTTCTAGGTTGTTAAACATATTGAACAAGACTGGTCCCAGGACTGACCCCTGGGGCACTCCGCTTGATACTGGCTGCCAACTAGACAGGGAGCCATTGATTTAGTACCCTTTGAGCCCAAAAATCCAGCCAGTTGTCTGCCTACCTTACAGTCCATTCATCCAACCCATACTTCCTTAGCTTGCTTGCACAAATGTGTTGGGACACCATATTCCACAACTGCTATCAGTTCCTACCATTAGTTTCTACCCTTGCTGTTGGGTGCTATTCTGCCATAATTGTGGCTGACTTTCACTTTGTTCCCAGGGTGAGCAAATAAGTCATTTTATGTCTTAAAAAGGGCATAATTACACATTTTGTTAAAGTAATATTTCTCATGTGTTTACATATTTGACATCTATCTAAGATGATAAATTATGGCCTTAGTTATAGAAAAGGAGGTTTTGGGGGCCTAATTTTTTCTTTCTGGCATTTTTTTAACTTGAAAGGCATTTGCAAATACATGCTTTATGGGAATGCTCTTTGAAAAGGTCATGTTTTTCACAGGCATAGTCTGTTGGTTTTGTTCAGTCACTAACACAAGTGCACGTAGCTGTCCTTGTCTGGTGCAACTGGTGTGTCATGAGGATATGAACGGATGAACAGATATCAAATTATATTCTGGGAGAAAGCATCTTGTCCTGGGATCACATAGATACACATGTCACTACCCCACTTCAAGTCCCCGTGAAGTATACTGGATGTAATGTACTAATACTTTTTTTCCATGGCATCTTTTTGTACATCTTTACCATTGGGGGTCATTCCTAGAACAAGCCTCTCAGACCATGTACTCTTCTGGCCACCTACTATTGAAAGAGCAGCAGTGCTTCCTGGAAGGTCTGTGGGTGTGTAGATGAAACAGGGGCCCTAAATTGAAGCAGAAACCCACAGCTTCAATTTAGGGTCCTTTAAACCCCTGTGTCATGCACACACCCTGCATGTACCTGTGTCTCTGGCAGCAGGGAGGGAAGGGCAAGCTGCTGGCGAGTGGAGCAGTCCCTGGGCTAAGGGTGGGGGTGGTGCTTCCCTCCATGGCAGCAGTGTGCCGCTGCCCACCCCACCCCCCCATGCAGCACCTGCCTGCAGGCATCCAGCTCAGGTGGTCCCAGGGGGCACTGCAGCTGTGGAGGGAAGCACTGGGCTCCTGTGCAGCTCAGGCAGACAGGCTCCAGGGGGCAAAAAAAGACGAGATCAGGCTTGCTGCTTTTCTTGGGCAGAGCCTGCCTTGCCAGGTTGCCTGCAGGGCTTCCTGCAGAGCCCCTGAGCTGCATGGAGCCTGGTGCTTCGGTCTGCAGCTGTAGGAGCAGCAAACTAAAACTCATCGGAGGAGCTTGTTTGCTGAGGCCTGAGTAATTTAAGGCTCATTATGCTGCTGAATTTCCTATAGCAGCTGTAATTAGTGCACAATACACTGCCAACACGTGCAAACACCAACACCGTTAAAGTAGTGCAAAAGCATTTAGCCCACTTTAAAGTGTGGTGCACACATGCCCCTTGTTTTGTCTACACATGGCCTATTTGTGTAAATGACTGTCCCTCTTGTTTTGATTGGGGTCAAATAGTCCCAGGTCTGTTTACAGCTTGAAGGACTAACTGAATTGCTAAGCACCCACTTTTAAAGGGATTTAGGCATCCAGAGACTCAGATATAGATGTCTAGTGGGAATTTTAGTGATGCCTAGGCACCTAAGTCACCTTCTCAGTGCATAAACAGCTTGAAAATGCTGTTGCTAAGATCCTCCTACAAGTTGCCAATCTCTTTGGGGAATGGACAAAATTCAGGAGGTAATTTGCAGAAGGTACTCGTAAGTCATGTGATCAAGTCCCAGGTGAGGCAGTTTTGCAGCTGAAGTGATTGTGTACCTATATGGAGGTAGTTCTCTTATTAGATGATGATCACATGAAATGAAGATGACTTACAAGTACCCTATGCTTTCTATTGTATAGGTCAGTATTTAAATTCTGGATTATTTTAAATTTTATTGTTGGTGATATTTTGCATATACCAGTTTATTTAGTACTTTTATAATTCTCTTTTTTTAAAAGAAAGTTGCCCAGGTATTTTCTAGCTATTGCAAGTTCATCCTGAAGAGTTGTTTCTCTTTTCTAACACAGTTTTTGGTAAGTGCTTTATTACTGAAAAACGTTATCATATTACGTTTTTCTTAGGTTATGGGGGAACAAATGAGTGAAAATTAATGAGTTAAACACTTTATAAGATAAAATACAGGTAAACTAATTTTAATCAAAAACAGTTGAAGTTTGCCTTGGGGCTGATACGGGGAAAAAAAAATAGTAACAACATATGATCAACATGTGATTATACAACACACGTATCAACATGTGATTATACAATAATTGAGTGTTGGGAAAGTAGAGTTACAGAATCATACTTTTGCAATTCAATCAGCTGGCTGTTTGACAGTGTATGCTTTTTATATCTTTTCAGACTCGTGAACAATTGCAAGCTGATCTCCTTCGGTGCCAGGCAAAAATTGAAGACCTCGAGAAAGCTCTGATTGAAAAAGGACAGGTAAAAGGCTCTCTCCTTGCCCTCTGTCAAGTCATTCTCTCTTTTGTGTATGGCAGTGCTCTTATCTTCATTGCATGCTGGTGTGTTGGTGTGTTTGATGCAGCTTAGTTACTACACCAACAATGTAATAACTTGGTGAAAGGAAAACATTCTATAAATTGGAAAAGTTCTCATTTAAAAATCTTTTCCTAGGATGTTAATATGTTATGTCCACATGCATGAAGGTTATTATTCAGTTCTCACGTCGTCTTTAACCAACATCGGCTTCAGTTTTCAGCTTTTGCCTGGACAATCTTTAGCCATAATTCAAAACAAAAATGAATCCTATGCGTTTTCCACGTAGAACATATTTGGTGCCCAGACTGACGGTATTAAAATGAGTTACCCCTATAAATATTTTAGTTGAAAAAATGAAGACTGAATGTGCATTTCATAGTTAAAACTTACCTTTCAACATTAATTTCATGGGATGAAGTCTTTGCTGGTTTGAGTATTCAAAACTCCAGCTGTCATCATCAGTGTTATCAACCCATTAATTTTTTTAACTGACAAACAAACTTTTTTACTGTCACATGATTTACTGCCAGTTTTACACCCTGCTGACCCCAACTCAGGGGATCACCAGCTCTCCTCCTCCCTGCCCTGACACTCCTTATTGTACCTTGCTTGGTGCTGCCACCCAGCCCACCCCCAGCCTTACCCCTGCTGTACCTACCCCCTGTCGTGGGACAGACCCCCACCCCCTGCATCTCCAACACCCATAGGTAAGCACTGAGCAGATGGGTAGGCAAGCTGTGGAGGGTCTAGTGGTGAGCCCAACAGGGATTCACTGAAGGGCTCTGAGCAGCACTCCCACTTAGACACCAGGTGGCACTGCTCTGCTCTCTGTCCAAGGATGTGAATCTAGCCTTAGTGGCCATGTCTGATGTGCAGGGGTGTGTGCCTGCAGCAGCACAAATAACAGCAGCATAAATTTGTTCCACTATGTGCTTTAGCATAGACCCCTACATATGCACTTTGTTGCATGGCACTGCTTCCTGCTTTGGGCAAACTGCCTTTGGCCAGTTCCTCCTGTCTCTTGGCATGCTGGCGCAGCCAGGGCACAATTGCAAGAGTGGAGATGCTGTGGCTGGCAGCCAGAGCATCTCCCTGGAAGACCAAGCCTCTGTTTGTTTCAGCGCACAATATTATAGGGTGCACTGCACCACTTTTTTTTTCTGGGGTTTTTCCTTTGCTACTCAGAAATCCCAGTGGCAAATTTTGCCCCTGTGCTGCAAATTCATAGGATGGGGGACATTTTAACATTCCACATGTGCAGTTTGTGATGCCACAAACTACACATGCCTGAATGTGGGGATACAGCAATTAATTCATGCAGATTGTGAATTGAGCTCAGTCTTACAGGTGGCTCAATTTTTCTTATGGACACAACAGACAAGCATTTTTAGACTTTTTTTTTTTATATACTGTCTGTAAATTTACAGGCAGTTAGCAACTCAATATTTCATGAAGTGAAATCAGGTTTAAGACTTGATGTATCTTGTTAGGGTTTGGCAAGGATAAATCCTGGCTGTTAGTGCATATTTGATGCCCAGGGGCATTAATAAACAACATGGGGGTTTAATTCTCCGTAAATTGAAGTAGTGTTTTTCTAAAAACATCTCTTCAATTTAGGCCAAAGTAAACCCCCATGTCATGTACACCTGTGTCCTTACCTGCCTCTCTGGCAGTGGGGAGGGGTGAGTGAGCTGCCTGCAGGCTGAGCAGTCCCTGAGTTATGGGGGGAGGCTGGTGCTTCCCTCTGGCAGTGGTGCGCCCTCCCCCCTCCCCACCCCCTGGGCAGCACCTGGCCATAGGCACCTGGCTGGGGCAGTCCTGGGGGGCCCACAGCTGTGGAAGGCAGCACAGGGCCCCTGCACAGATGATTGGGCTCATGACTTTTTTTTTTTTTTCTTTAGTGCAGCTTGCCTTCCTGGGCTGCTGCCAGGTCACCTGCTGGGCTGCATGCAGAGCCCCTGAGCCCCACGGAGCCTGGTGATTCCCTCTACAGCTGTAAGGCAGCAAACTAAAGCTCCTCAGAGGTGTTTTAGTTTGCTGCACCCCAAAGTCATTTAAGGCACATTATGCCACTGAATTTGCTACAACAGTTGGAATTAATGCACAATACACCACCAAATTTGCAAACTCTTGCAAACAGCAATGCCGTTAAAGCAGTGCAAAAGGGCATTTAACAGGCTTTAATGAGTCATCTACAAATGCCCCAGGATCCTCCAGAAAGTTGGCCAGAATGATGAATTGGCATTTAAATGTGTTCAGCTGCATCACTGAAAGTGCCCCTGCAAAAATATGTAATGTTTTATTTTTACCATATTTTTGATGAAAAAGATATTTAAATATTGTTACTGATGTACAGTTATGAATGGGGGTATTCCATTTTTCACAAACTCTTTATATTTAATCTTCATTCTGTTTTATGGTTTGTTTTGTACAAGTTGTGTCTCTTGAAGTAAACAATATTGTATTGGCTTGTTTACAAGCCCCAATTTTCTATTCTAGTAAATTTTGTGGAAATAAAGTATTTCCACAACAAATGAGATGTAAGAAAGATAAATATTAGGTATTAGCTTATGAAATATTGAAATAAAAAAATAAATAAATCAGACACAGGAATAAACCAGTTTGAAAGGCAGACTTTCCCTTCTGAGGATCTGTTTTTGTCAGTTTGGTATATTGTTAACTAAAACTTTAGGCAAATTGCTGCATTAAAAATATTTTACTATTAAAGTTATAATATTGAAATATCATGTCTGTAAATAAGACAAGGGCACAGGAATATATATGTGAAAAATTTTGTCAACATTTGATTCCTTATTGATAGACCTAATATGTGTGGTTGAAAAATTAGTTTTTATTTATTTATTACCTTTGAAGATTCTTAACCCTGCTGCTCCCTGTGTCTCTCAGTTGTCTTGAATGTCAGTATCGAAGCAGTAGGATGCAATTTTATAATTGCCACCTATGATTCAGATAGAAACTAAGCTTGAGACCCTCACCAGAAATTGCTGCTCTGCCTCCTAGGGGCTCTAGCACATGTTCATCTGTTCACTGCCCTTATCTGCAGTCATACCAAACTGTTAATCCCTATATTTAACTAAATAAATTTTACAATAAACTGACTTTGTGCACTATGTGATTGTGTAGTTTAGGCACTGAGCTTCTGATAAGGGTATTTATTTAGTAATAACTCTGAGCTCTTCATTCAGGTGAGAGGTAATCTCGGGTGCTTGAAGCACAGCATTCTAAATCAGGAGACTTAAGTGCAGATTTTCAAAAACTGTGCGTCTTGCCCATTTTTTTTAATTCTCGTTTTAAAGCTAAAGAAACCTAGACAGCAAGAGCTGACATGCATTGTCTAAGGTCAGATGTGCAGTGTTGAAGAGGAAGGCTAAGATCAGAGTGCAGGGCTAAGGGTTTAAAAAAATATATTTGCCTTGGTGTTAGGCTTCTAAGCTCATTTTATGTTTTTTTTTTCACCTAAGACTCTCATCAACCCTTCTGTGCCCAAGTTCCTTGCATGCAAAATAGGAATGCTAATAATTTACCTCTGTAAAGTATTTTGAGGTTCTTTTATGAAAGACTTTATGGTAAGATTGTTTACTATCTTACCATAGCTTCTAAGGATGTTTATAAGGGGTATATTTTGTTAAGTGCTACGGATCTTTATTTCTTCTGAAAATCATGGTCAGGCCTCAAATGATCAAGTTTTGAAATACTTGTAATATCTTCCTTGTCAAACAAAATTAGACCATCAATGGAGCAAATAAGATCAGTCAATTATAGCTATAAAAGAAAGTTAGCAATCCTGAAAGGAAGGAATACATGGAAAAAGCACTGTGGATATACAGCTGGCCCCTAAGTGTGTATGAAGTTTGGATGTTTACCTAAATCTCTGGATGCAAGTTGTTCTGTCCTTTGAGCTTTGGAAGGGAACACTGGGGAGAAACGCTTCCAATGGTTTCTCCATTGCTTTGTCTAGCTTAACATCTGATTAGCACTATGTATTTCCTTACTTTAATTCCAGACTAGGTGTTCATCTCTTTGCCTTTTTTTCCCCCCATACTCCATCTGGTATGTGTTTTAACACAAACTGAAACAACCTTCTGCCCCTAAGGAATTAGGCCCTGTGTAAAAATAAGAGTGCACGTGCCTGCTTTTGTGTGTGGGTGAGAGGAAAATAATAAAATTAGAAAATTCCATAAAATAATTAATTTTGATGTGGCAGTCAGGAAATGCTCCATTGATAACATGCCTCCAAAATAATGATTTTCAAACTTTAGCTAGTAACTTAGGCTGTACAAGGTGGGAAAGAAAAAAGGCCAAGTTACAGAGAATCAGAGTTGTATTTATTTTCTCATTGCTTTCCCAGGTTATCTATTTCTTATTTGTATTAGGCTTGGTCTTTGATGTGGGACCCACATTTCATTGTGAATTAATGACTGAAGCATAATACTTTTTAAAAATTTTTTGGTTAAAAAAATATACTTAATTTTCCCCCCTCCACAGGATTCAAAATGGATAGAAGAGAAGCAGCTGCTTATCAGAACAAATCAAGAGTTGTTTGAAAAGGTATATGGTCAGAATCTGGGAACCTTTGAGTA